TCAGTCTAGCCTGGGGAACAATGGATTGGCTAGGGGACATCAGAAGCATGTGAAATCATAGAAAGTTGGTTGGTTAGTATAAAAAAGCTCCTGGTTAAAATCCCCAGAAAAAAGAGTTCCTTTGCTCTTGTTCTATCTTGTTGGTGATTATTGCCTCTTGCTCTCTCTTGCTCCATGACCCGCACTCGCCCATGTGCTCACATGTTCTCTCTCCATAGCCATGTGGCCTAAAGCAGTGGGGACCCCACATGCAATGGACTGCAATTGGGAACACAAGCTAAGCTAGCCAGTACTGGACTGGATTGGACTTTAATATGGTTCAGACTGACAAAGCTCAGAGGAGGAGGTGGGGGGAGGAAAGAGATCAACCAAAGAATGTATGCATATTAGCATAACCAATGGACATAGACAACAATGCTGGGGGTGGGGGTGGGGCGAGAATGGCAGGAGGGTGTCAATGGGGGAAAAAGGAGAAACATCCGTAACAAAAATTAATTTTAAAAAATATGGAACAGAAACTATGGGTCTTAATTCTGGACTTCTTCCATGGCGAGACAGAGATGGGACCTTGGAGGGGAACCCTCTTAATTTTACATCAATAAAGCTTTCCACAAAACCCCATTCTCCCATGGGAGCCTCAGGAAATGATTTTCCTTGTGGCACCCCAAGAACTCCACTTCCACTGATAACACCTCCACCTGGGAGCTCATGTGGGCAGGGTACGCCTAGCCATACAGCCCCATCACCCAGGGTTGGGGGTACAGGCTATGCCCCACAGCTGACCTGTATACTAGACAGTGGGCTGAGAGGATCCCATCCAAGAGAGGAGCCCCCAGACAGTGAGCAGGGAGTGGCTCAGAGAAGCACAGTGGGACAGGGCCATGGACAGCCCAGGTGGGGAGGGAGAAGGCAGCTGGAGTGGAGCTGAGAACATCCAGGGACATCCAGGGCACTAGCACACAAGTCCAATGCACTCTTGCTGCAGCCTCATTTGTGTGGCCTTCATCACAGCCAAGAGTCCCCATGAGAGGTGGGATTCATTCAGGCCATGGAACACCCAGAAAAGAGCCAGAAATAAGGGCCCTGTGCCCACCTGGGTAGGGCCAAGGTGACTGTAATCTGCCCATGGCCTCCCAGCTTTTAGCCCTCTTGGGCTGCTTCCTTCTCTCATCTCTCACAGGCTGCTCCCTGAGCACCTGCTGTGTGTGGCAATAAGCCAGGCCCCATGTGGCAATGAGCATTCCCTTCCATGGTCCTGATGGTCTCAAGTTCCCCAGGGTCTCACAGTGAGGTGACACAGCACCCACCATTGTCTGTCTCATTACTAGCCTCGCTTTTTCCACCCTCTCCTCTCCCCCTCCTCACCTTTCTCCTCCTCCCCAATTTGTCTATCTACCTCACCCTTCATCTCTGAAGTCAGCCTGAAAAGGCAGGCAGGATACCTTCCTGTCTGCACCTTCTTGCTTAATCCCCAGCCATCTCCTGCTTCCCCATGCCAGACCAGGCAGGGCTCCAGCCAGATTTACCTCTGGCTACCTGTTCATGCATCCTGGGCTGCTTCCATACCTGCAAATAGTAGTTAAAGTCAATCGGAAAGAGCTCTGAGCAGCCTCCCAACCTGAGCCCTGAGCCCTGTGGGCTCCTCTTCTTTTTCTCCTCTCGCCATGGGGCCTTGCCAGTAAGCTACAAGGACACCCTGTCCTCTGGAAATTCTTGAGGCCTCTTGCCTTCTCTCCCTAGATGGGAAGCATCTTGCAGTCTCCTAGGTGTCTCTGTCCACCTGACAAATGTGGCTGGACAAGGCACGTCTTCTCCTGCCTCGGGTGCTGGCCGAGACAGCGGGGACTTTTCAGCTAGAGGAGTCCAGAGATGGGGCAGGACACCATAGTCACAAAGTGGCCAGAAAGGACAGATACAGCCCAGCACTTCATCCTCACAGTACACACACAGACACACACAAACACCCATACACATATGCAGACACAGACATATGCACATGTTCACACACATGTATAGGCAGATGCACAAACCCAGTCCCCCTACATGTACACATGAGGACACAGAAATACTCAAGACTAGCCACCACACTCAGGACCCCAGGATCCAGGGAAGACCCAGGTGTCCAGAGAGGGCTCCTCGGCAAGGGGCCATGTGCCTGGGCAGAAGGGTAGGCCCTGGTGGAGGCTCTGCACCAGCCTGTCCTGTCCAGCTGCCCCTGCTCCCTTCAGAAGCCTGACCCCTGCCCTCTCATACTGGGTTGATTTCAGCTAGTCTCAGCCACCATTGCCTAGGAAGAATGGCTCCATTCAAGCTGCCTGCTCCCTGTACCTAGGCAGCTCGCAGTCCCCTCCCACCAGGCACAGAGGCCTGAGACCACCACTCAGGTGGAAGCCTCGGTCTTACAATTTGCAATGAGGAGCTGACCCCTATGTGTCCCCCAAGTAGTGAGATGCCCCAAGCTCCCCTCAACCTGCTGCCTCACAGCCCCCCATCCCTCACCCACAGAACTTACTGCCCAGCTGAGGGCCCTCATAGGGCTGCCTGGTAGCCTTCAGCCTGGCACAGGGTCTGCTGCCAGAAGGTGCCCCTTGGCCTCTTCATGGTGGGGTCCATGGGCCAGAGAGGGGGTATTGCCATCCTCTGCCTGGGCATGGAGATTAGGAGGGTAACCCCAATATTTTTCTCCCAGGACATTAGGGGTTCACATGGGATTAGAGGTGGCAGGGAGGTAACCTACCAGGAGATGGCCTGCCACCAAGGGTCCAGCAGGGTACATCATAGCTCTGGGGGACACACAAAGTAGTTCAAGGGAAGACAGAGATTATCAGGGAGGGTGAAGGAAACTGGAAATTAGGGACCAATGGGGGTTGTGTGTTGTGCACAGAGTACCCCAGACTCAGAGCAGGTGGACAGATGAACCAATGGGCCCTGTTGGAGACTCACTGCTATAAGGGGGTATGAGGAATCTGCTTCTAGAAGAGACTGCAGACTCAGAGCAGGAGGGAGAGTGGGGCTATAGGAGGCATCCTGAGAGCAGGCTGAAACACACGCCCCCAAACACTCCTGGGGAAAGGAGAAGGAGGCAGAGGCAGCTGTCCAATGTGCTGGGAGGTGGGCTACCCCTCCCGCATTCCAGAGGTCTCTCTCCACTGACCAAACAAGGACGTGGGCCTTGAAGGGTGGAGGGAAGCCTTGTTTCCTAAAGATCAAGAAAAGGAGGTATGTTTCCTGCCCAGCCCGCCCACTCCACGCCCCCAGGGCCCACTTCTTACCCAGGTCTCCATGACTGTCATCGGTAGAGCTGTGTCCCCCAAATTCATATCCACTTGACATTCAGGGTGGTTATCTTAGTTGGAAATGAGGTCTCTGCAGATGTACTTAGTTAATGACGTCAAGATGAGAGCATCCCAGATTGTCTATGTGCCCTACCTTACATGACAGGTGTCCACACATAAACAGAAGGGAGAAGACATGGAGAAGGAAGCAGAAACCACATGATGAAGGAGGCAGAGAATGGGACACTAGGAGCAGCAGCGGCAAGTAGAGGCAGAAAGGACCCTCCCCTGGAACCTCCAGAGAAAGTGTGGCCTTGCAACACTATCTCAGATTTCTTGCCTTCAGGTCTGAAGAAACAAGGGTCTCATGGCTCACCTGACCCTCCCTGGTTAGAGGCTATGCTGGCACAGAGGCCGAGCTGAATGTTGCAGGGCACCTGGGACCCCAGTGAGGGCACTGTAAAAGGGATCGTGCAGCACTCAGTGATCAGGGGTCTCAGATAGGGTTCCCACACATGAGAGCTGTGACCTCTCCATGTGTAACCATGGATAAACCACCCATCCTGCATATGGGTCCAACTCTGCTGTGCTTGGGCTACAAAAAACATTCAGCTCCCTAAACGCTCTCACATCATCAAGATCCACCAGAACAGGTAGGTCTTCATGCCCAGCCCTCCTACCTCAACTCTCTTCCCTGTCCTGCCTTAACATCCTTACTTGATCCCTCTTCCCCACTGCTCTCCTCTCTCAGACCCTCCTCTCAGGCACTTTTCCCTCAGGCCCTCCTCTCTAAGGCCCTCTCTCCTCATGCCCTCCTCCTACCATCCTCCTCCCTTATGACCTCATCCTTCAGGCCCTTCTCCTTCAGGTCTTCCTCTGCACCTCCACCTCTCCCATGAACTCCTCTCTCAGATCCTCTTCTCTCAGGCCCTCCTCCTTCAGTTCCTTCTCCCTCAGGCCCTCCTCCCTCAGTTCCTTCTCCCTCAGGCCCTCCTCCCTCAGGTCCTCCTCCCACATATCCTCCTCCCTCTTGATCTCCTCTCTTAAGTCCTCCTCCCTCAGTTGCTCATCCCTTATCTCAGGCCCGCCACCCATAGGTTCACCATAACTACTCTGAAGTCAATGAACTGAGTCAGGCTATAATTTAAAATATGTTTATTTAGTGTTTCCATTTGTTTCTGATTGTGTTACACAAAGCTGTTAAATAAATACATTCTCCTAGTCACTCGAGTACACACCTACTCGCTATACAGATGAGGTAGAGAAGTGGGTAGGCTGGCAGGAGAGGTTGAACATAAGGAGGATAGGTGTCGTGTGTGAATGTTCCTCTCCTCCCGACTTCTGGACCTGGCTGAACCAAGCCCAGAAGCCAAGTCTGAGGGGCTGGTGGGGAGCAGGTGGCCGGGACCCGCCTGGCCCTCAGCATGGCTGCTATCCCCAGGACCCCTAGAGAGGCTGAACATGGGGATCTGGCCCCACTACAGACACATTTTCTTCAGAGATCCTCTGCCACATGAAAGAGAAGCACATTTAGGAGGGGCTCCATCAGCGGGAGTTGCTTCTTTGCTTAGCAAGACATTCTGATATATATTTATATATAAACAAACCAGCCAGCAGACATTTTCAGTCTGCCTTGTTTTAAAAAATACTTTTCTTAATATTTATGACAAAAATAGCTAAATGTGGTAATTAGAAAAGAACATATCCTTCCTCTGACTTGCCACCTTTCCAGACCCAGTAGTGACTGGCTACAGTCTTGTCATGGGAACATGCCACTCTACCTGCTCTGGGCCCCAGCAGGTAAGGATGCATGGGGATGACCAGGATGCCCCTTAATTCACCCCCTGTCCAACCAGGCCTGCAGAGACCAAGGGGCAGGTCCACATCTCCTGCCACTAAAGAGCCTTTGGCTCCCTTCCAGGATGGGCCTCCACAGCAGTTATTCACTGAGTGTTCTCTGAACCACAGGAGAATAAATTTTACTATTTACACCATAAAACAGGGACAGAGAGACCCACATCAACATAAATAGGTTTTCTTTTAGAAACACAGTTCCCTGGGGTTCCTGGAGCCCCCTGGGACTCCGAGGAATGCCCTAGCTCAGTAGTTCCTGCTTCCACACTACCTGCACCCTTGGAGCACAGCCACCCAGCCAAGCAGGACAGGCCCAGGGCAGAAGCTCCAGAGCCAAGGCTGCCATTCACGTCAATGTGGAAAGGAAAGACCCACAGTAACTAAGGGTACAGGGTGAATGAAGCCACAGCCCAGCCACCCACAAAACACACCAACAGACATTCATGGGCACATGCTCACATATATGCATGTATGCACGCTCACATATATGCATGTATGCACGCTCATCACCCATGCTTCCACACATATGCACACGTAACACATGTACATAACACAGGCATATGCTGAGATACATGCATCCATGTACACACACCCATGAACAGATGCATATGTTCACACACTCGTGCACACACATGCACACATACTACACATGTAGGCATGTGCTCTCACACAAGCAGGCATGTGTACCCATGCACGCATATACATCACATGTGCTCACACACATGCAACTCATACATGCACATGCTATACATGCATGCTCAAGTACACATGCACACATGTACACACACTAAAACCAAACCAGGTCAGTGTAGGCCATCTTTTTCCCCTTCCAGCAAAGACAACAGCATGGCCAAGGAACACATCCTTCCAGTTGCCAAATCCTAGTCCCAGACACACTCCATCACATCTATCCCCACCCTGCTTCCCACACAGTGACAAAGAGCAAGCTGTGCCTTCCTAGTGAAATAAACGCTCCAAGGGGCTGGCCCTGCCCCTCTGCCCACACATACCCCTTGGGGAGGGCAGGCCAGCCTTGCCATCCCAGGCCCCAGAATCTGCACTTGGGGGCTGGAGTGCAGGGCTGTGTACCCACAGGTGCCCTTCCCAGAATGGCTTCCCTGGGGGCAGCAGACTGGACCTGACTTCCAGAAGCCCTGAGGGGACGTGGCCAGACACAGCTCGCTTTAATTCTTTAGAACAACGACAGCAATGTCTCTCTTGACTTAGTGGTTTCAAACACAAAGCAGATCAGGGAAAGAAGTCTGGGGAGGGGGCAAGGAGAGAAGAAGGCGCTTCTCCGGTCTGGAAGAGCCACAGCTTAGGACATAGTGGGGACAAAGAAAATAATTATTATATATTAGTTAAATTAAAATAACTTAAAAGTCACTGATATCACTCCAAATAGAAGTGCTTGATGTCAGAGGGGAGCAGCAGTGTCCCCCCACCACACCTGGGTAGTTGGCTGTCCCTCTCCTAGTGGTTTGACTCTAACCAGAGCTGGTGGAGGACAGCCCACAGGAAGCCACAGAGGGCCTGTGTGGTCACAAAGGTGACCCATGCTCCTCAGAGGAAGCCCAAGTGGTGAGGGGCGCTGTGACACAGGAACTGGACTCTTAGGGACAGACACAGTCTGGAAAGCATCAGTGCAATGCTGTCAGGTTCCGGGGAGGGACAAGCAGAGGGTATGCGGAGGTCAGAACAGGCTGGACTCCTGCCCCCGCCTCATGCCCAAATGTGCTGGGGGCACCCAGCCTGGGGCTCAGTCTGCAAATGTAGATGCCTCAGCTGTACACGCTGCCTGCACCTCTTCAACAGCCTGGCTACCTGGCGCTAGCCCTTGCAAGTGTATACCTCCTCCCGCTGCGTACACTGCCTGCACTCCACATAGCAGCACCAGCGCACCTGGCACTGGCAGGGCCGTGTCACCACCCGGCTCTGTGTGTTGTGGCCTCGACCGCAGCAGATGCTCTCACAGTTCTTCTCACGGTGGCATCTGCGGCCAGCAGTGCCTGGGGAGAAGCGGCCAGCCAGACAGAAACTGGGCGAGTCATCCAGGTGCACAAGCTCTGGTGTGTGGGGCAGTGGATCACCACCTATGCCCGAGGCCCGGCCCCTTGGCGGTGAAATGGCGCCTGCCTCACCGGCAGCCTCATTGGTGGTACTGCCCACTTTGAGCGCCGTCTCATACTTGTACTTCAAGCGCTTGCCCACCTCATGGAAGGGTGCCAGCTGCCGCCAGCATGTCCGCACGGTACAGGAGCCTGACACACCGTGGCACTTGCACGTGGTCTCCACCCCAGCCTTGATTACCTGGAGAGAGGGAGGGAGGGAAGGGAGCATGAGGCCACGCCTGGTAGAATAGAGACCAGACCTCACAGATGATCCCAGAGGGGCTGAAACCAGCACCCACCCTAGGGCCAAACTCCATGGCCCCCAAACCCAGGCATGGCCCAGAGAGCCACCACTACCTATCACCCAGGCTCTCTGGCTTACAAACCCATCCCACTGCTTTGAAGCCATAAACTGCCTAGGACAGAAGTCCTATGGCCAGTCCTTGGACCAGCATGGCCTCCAGAGAGACCACCACAGCACCTATGGCTTTGTGGAGACACTTCCTTCCCACAAAGATGTTCTTCCCTATGTCTAGGACTCCTCCTACAAGGGCAGGGCAGGCCACCTTCCAGACCTACCGTCAGCACCCTGTCAACCAGGACCTAGTCTACATTATGGACAGTTGCACACCCAGTGGGCAGGACTGGCCACTGGGAGTCTATAACTGAGCTAACCACGTCCCTGCCTGAGCATCAGGATCTAGTGCTACTGCACATATAGGTGCCACCCAACCAACCCAAAGGTGAAAAGTAGCTGGCCAGAGCAAGAGGAGGTGTGGTTCAGCACCAAGCTCTGCTCAGGCTCTGGGAAGCTGCCTGAGACCCAGACTGGGCCCTTCCCCTTCTAGGACTTGGGTGTCACCTACAATGTCAGGAAGTCAAGCCAGCTGCTCCATTAAGCCTCCTGCAAGACTGCCCACACAGGGGTACCGGGAGGTATGTAAGAGGAAGGGCAGGGAAGCCCTCCCCAGTGGCCCAAGCTAGGCATGAGCTCCCAGGGAGGGCCACCTAAGGGGATTAAGAAACATAGCTGCTCCATGGCCACTCAACAGAAGAGTCACATTTCATGATACTCTGCTGAGCAATGGAGCAGTTTTCATATTCTGACTTTTCATTTATAGCTTACAAAAAGCAAGTATGAAGGAAAAGAAAGGGCCTTGCCTGGGGGATTTCATCTCCTCATACCCTCCCCAGAAGACTGAAGGAAAGGAGTTTTCATCTATGACTCAGAACTCCAGCTAGTCAATAAACAGGCTTAGAGTAGGCTGGCTCTAATTACATCCCCCCAGGTTGGGGCTCCACATTCCTGGTAGTCCCCTGCCAGTCCCTAAGGTAATAGTTGAGCCTGGGGGGGCATTTGGTGGACCAAGTTGCTGGGTGCTCCACCCATAGTAAGGACTAAGGTAAGGACCTGATGCCTATCCGGTGTTGTGGACCCAAGAGCTGAGGGAATGCAGAGAAGGTGAGTGGCAGCAGAAGCCAGGTCCCCTCAGGCCCAGCCATACTTGCAGCTAGCACCCCATAGAAGGGCCCAGCCAAAATGCCAAGATATTCTTTTTCCTGAGTCTTCTGAGCTGAGCTGTCTCAGAAGATAGTCCTGGCCACAGAGGAGATGCCTGAGGCAGAAGCACCCCCCAACACATACTTGGACCATCTAAACCCCAGCCCTTCCCTGGGACCCCTGGCCTGCACAGTTCCCAGACTGCCTTCACCTAGGTTCCTGGTAACAGGACCACCTGCCCCTCAGCCCTGGCAGGCAGGGCTCTCCATTTGTCATCCTCCTGGATAGATGGCACCTATCATAGAGACCCTCCTGGTGCCTTGACCACCCAAGGTCAGACATAGATGGGCCCAGACCCACCTGGCTCCTCCCTAACCAGCAAAAAGTAGGCCTTCCAGCTCCACCTCTCCATGAGTTACCACAGGAGGCCACATGTACCCTCCAGGGGAGGTCACAGGACACTCTCCACTGGAGACCATGGGCACCCTCCATGACAACTAACATCTCCAACTATCTGCAGGTAATAAGACTTATATAAGCAGGATGACTGGAAGACCATGACGGGTACCATATATCTAGAACTAAAGCACAGAGACAGCGGATTCCACCTCCTCCCAGCCTCCCAGCCCTCTCTGAGTCTTGCCTGCCCCCCTCACCACCACCACCACCCCATGGCACCCCTCTCCCACCCTACGCCCCACCCCACCCCGCTTGCCTTCACACCCACGAGGTTGTTGTGGAAGTCCACACGGGCACGCAGGTCCTTGCTCGACCGTCGGCCCAAAAACTCCTTGACAAACTTGCTGCTGTACTTGAGGTTGTCTCCACAGCCACCCCACTGCCAGGCCTCACGGTTCTCCAGGTCAGGGGCCTCATCACAGGTACAGCGCTCCATGCGGCCTGCACTGCAGGCCTTGGCCAGTGCGTGCGTCAGGCCAGCCGAGGAGATGGCATAGAGGAAGGCAGTCTCCTTGAAGCCTGGGGGAGCAGCAGGGCGGATCAGTGGTGGTATCAGCAGCAGCCCCGTTACCTTGTGTAGCCAAACCACAGCATTCCAGATGAAGCCCCAAATCCTAGACTGCTAGAACTTTCCTGTGATCAATTTGGGGGGAGTGGGAGTGACTGTGTCCCTGGGGGTAGGAGGCTCTCCTATGTGCATGGAGGGAGGAGGGCAGTGAGGAAGAATCCAGAGGTACTATGGTCTTGGTTTTGCCTGGCAATCGGAGACCCCATCCATCCAAGTCTCCCACCCACCAGAATCGCCTAGAGCCCTAGGGGAGCCCTGCCTGGGCCTCAGGGCCCCAGTTTTTAAACGAGGCCATGGAGAGGCTCCGACGAGAGTCCCCAGCAGCAGAAAGAGATAGAAGAGATGAGGCTCTGTGCTCTGAGTGTCAGCTGGACCCCTGCCATCTCTGCTGATACTAAGCCTTGGCCACAGGCATGTGGAAAAAGCCATCAGAGCCGCTTGGGGCCCTGTCAAAGCTGCCAAAGGCACCTAGTCCTGCCAACAACAGTTCAGGCCTCTATTGGGACAGGGCAGGAGGGGTGGGGGCAGGAGGGCGGGGACAGGGGAGTTATGAGGGGCAGCAGCAGGAGAGTGGGAGCAAAGCAGTTGCTCCAGGATCTCTTCCTATGCCCCCAGCTCCTTTCCCTTAACCTAGGCTTGGCTGCCCTGCCTCCAGTGCACCACACCTCGCTTAAGCAGGCTGGACCGGTAGCGGCCCTCTAGGGTGCAGTTCCAGCGCTCAAAGCGGAACTGGTACTGGCACTCGAGGGCACTCATGCTGACCGCCTCCACCAGTGTCTCTGCCACGCCCGGGTCCCGGCGGCACATGCGCCGCTGCTTCCGCTCCAGCTTCAGCCGGTCGCAGGCCTTGTAGTGTGCCTGTACGGCTGCCTCGGGCTCCAGGGTCAGCGGGAGGATGGTCAAGGGCTCACTGCCGGTCAGCCTGTGTACAGAGAGACCAGGGTGAGCACTGCCCCAGAAAAAGGACAATCTCCACACCCTGAAGAAGACTCAGGAAACCAGGACTGGAGAAGGCACAAAGACCATACCCACTCTCTTGCCTGCTTACCCAAATGGACAGGTAAGCCCTGCTCCTGGATGCCCACCTCTGCCGTCCCCAGCTGGGATGGACCCTTGGGAGGGTCATAGCACATTCCTGGCCCTCCAGCAGCCTGTACACATGGCCCTCAGGTCCCGATACATCTCCCTAAACATCTGTACCAGAGAAGACCTTCCAGCCTGGGACAAAGGTGTCACTGGGAAATCGGCCCCCATTTCTCCTGTAGCTCCACCTAAGGCCCTGGCCCACAGGTCTATAGCCTGCTCTCTGGCCTGCTGCATACACCCCAACCTGCTCCATCCAGGGACTGACAGGCCTGGCCTTCTGTCCACTATGGCCTCAGTGTCCCTAGATAGGCAACATGTCTGAGCCTAGCCACAACCAGACCGTGAGCCCTTAGGAGGGAGAGATGCCTACCTGGACAGGGGCATGGTTCAGAGCCCCCATTCAAGCATATTTGGAAACAAGCCTCCCACCCCAGCCCACTCATGGGAAACATAGTCCCCTCACCATGCCCCATCCTCTCTCCTGCTGCCTCTCAAAAGGCCACTCAGGGACATAGTGGCTACCATAATGATTCTAAGAGCCACAGCTTTCTGTAGGAGAAGGGATGTGCTAGGCCCTCCTAGAACCCCACCCTGTAGCAGAACCCCATAGTGATATTCCTCTGGGACAACCTAGGTACTGTTTTCAAAGCCTCCCTGCTCTCTGCTCCCTCTTGGACACCACACACATCCCGGCATGGCCTCTCTGGGCCTTGCCTGGGGTGGGGGCATCTACATTGCTGAGGGTCCAGAGGGACCCCCAGACTCTGAAGGGACAGGGCCTGCCTCACTCATTCCAGTCAGCTACCTGAAGGCAGGAGACCCAGCAGGGAGCCAGGCAACACTGCAGGGACACCAGGGCAGAAGGCTCCAGAGTGCAGAGAGGAGTGGCAGGCAGGAGAGAGCAAGGCACCCCATAGGGTGAGGTCAAACTGACAGGCTCCAGGCCCCAGACCAAAAATGTGCCCCCACACTCCACCTCTTCCATACTCTGGTTCAGTGAGAAGACCCAGCCCAGCCCTGGGCCCTGCTCTCTACATGCTCAGAGCCAGCATGGCACCAGGGCAGAGCCCTGGCCATGTCCCCACCAGCTCCAGTCCCCTTGCAAACTTCACTGCAGGGCCAGCTCTCCTCTAAGTGATGCTCTGAGCCAGGAACCCGCTTTACTTCCCCACCCTGTGCACAGTGGGAGGCCAACATGGGCATGGGCTGGGAGAGAACCCCAAAGGTCCCTGAGGCACAGGAGGGGACCAGAGTGGATGACCCAATGGTACAGACAGAGAGAAAGCAAAGCCTTCGAGTAGAAGGTACCTCTGAGTTCTGAGCTGGGATTCTGTGCTAGAGAAGTGGCAGATGAGGGAGGAGGCAAGCATGCCAGCCAGTGTCTTATCCCCAGTGCTGCTGCAGGGGTTAGGGTTTCATGCATAAGGGCAAAGGGACACAACAGGGACTGCCATGGGTGGCTTCTTGGACTTCCAGGCCTCCTGCCCAAAGACAGCTGCTGAGGCAGACGGGGAACAGACTGGGCCCTGCAGATCCCAAGCTGGAGGATGGAAAAGCCATGCACCCCATACAAAGGCAGCTCACACAGTGAAGACTTGTCCCCAGACAGGAATGTCAACAGCTGTGCCCAGAACGGGTGCCAGGCAGCAGAAACCCTGCAGCCTCCAACCTGCGTGAGATTAACCAAGATCCAGGCAATGCCAAAACATTCCAGCATCCAAGAGTAGAGTACCCACAGAAGGTGGGCCGACGTGAGGGAACCTGGAGCCAGCCTAGAAAGGGCAGTTGTGGGAATGAACAAGGAGAAGGAAAGGACAGTGGGCCATGATGTCTCCCATTCCAGGGAGGCTGAGCGCAAGGGTCCCACTGCACCAGGGGCCAACCTGCTTCCCTTTCCACACTGCACATGGTGGTGAGGGGAAAGGGTCCCAACATACCCAGGGCCTTCCAGGTAAGGAGAGGACAGGAATCCCCCCACATCAAGGGTCACGCTGCCTCCCATCTGCATTGCACATGGGAGAAGAGGGCAGGAGTCCCCTACCCAAGGTTGTACCCAGTCCACATTGTACATGGGGGCCAAGGGCAGGTGTCCACCCATACCTGGGGCCATGCTGCCTCCCAGTCCACGGAGCCTGAAGACAGGGCCTCTTCATCTACATTGCCTATGGGGGCTGAGAACAAGGGTGCCCTGATACCTAGGGCCAACTATATCCACACTACGCAGGTTGAGGGCAGGGTTGCCCCAACCCTGGAGCTGGTGTGCGGCTGGAACCCTGCTATTGCCACATTGTTCTACTCCCAAGACAAATCCAACAATCCAACACCAGCAATCAGATGGCCCCTGCCCCAAACACCCTAAACTGTCAGGGCGTGTTTAGTGTGTGGCCTGCCTAGGGGCTCATGGCCTGGGGTGCAGAGGAGAGACCCATGTGAAGGTGTCAGGTAGCAAGAGAAGTGGGAAGATGATGTTTGGGATGTGGGGAGGAGGGCTGGCCTCGGTTCAGTGGAAGAGGTCCTAGTGATAGTGGCCAAGGATCTAGGACAGAAACCTAAACACAGAGAGTAACAACAGCAGTGCTGGAGGAAAGACAAGAGGTTTATATAACACTTCTAGAATCAGGGGGCTTTTCTCAGAGTGAATCAGAATCCAGAAGACCTTGAATAATTAATAAATTTGACTCTAAAAATACAAGAATCTCTACACAGTGAAAAAGTAGCACATAGAGTTTTAAAAGACAATAGAAAAGAGTCTGGGAAAATGTTGCAATTCCAATCCCAGACCAAGGGCCAACTTCCTTTGTCTGTCTGCTTGTGCATGCGTATGTGTGCATGTGCACATGGATGTGTATGTATTTTCCTAAAGGTCAAAAATAAAAGGAATCAATTGCAGAGAACACAGGATATGAACATACAATTCAAAGGTAGGAAATATAGCTGCTGTTAAAACTTATAAAAGGCTCCACCCCAATCAAAGTAATACAAAATAAAACTATGTTGATATGTTATTTTTCACTCATCAGATAAGCACAAATTGGTGTCTGATAAGATTATTCTCAAGGACAAGGAGAAAGAGATGTCCCTCCATGGCTGAAATTCTGGACTGACATATCTATAAAAATTTACCCACCAATTCTGTTTCTACAAGTACAGGTTATAGGTATATTATCTTAAAACGTACATGCATGTATCACTCACACATTATCCAGTGCAATGCTGTCATACAAAAATACTGGAAGCACTGTTTGTTATATAGTAGTCCCCTCCTCATTTGCAGGAATATGTTCCAAGGCCCCCAGTGGATGTCTAAAACTGTGGATTGTACTAAACCCTTTGTATACTGTTTTTTCCTATACATATACACCTATGATAATGTTTAAGTTATAAATTAGACACAGGAAGAGATTAACAACTAATAATAAAATAGAACAATTATAACAATATGCTATAATAAATGTTGTATGAACATGGTCTCTCTCTGATAACCAATCTAATCACCAAGACAAGTACTCAGTGACTAACAGATGGGGAATGTCTACAGCATGTAAATGTTGGACAAGAGGACAAGTTATGTCCTGGGTAGAACAGAGCAGACAGTGTACAATTTCATCATGCTACTTAGAACATCGCACAATTTAAAATTTATGAATTGTTTATTTGTGAAATTTTCCATTTAATATTTTCTGACCTCAGGTAACTGGAACTGCATAAAGAAAACTGACCATAAATTATGGGGCTACTATACAAAAAATGGAGACTGACTGAATAACTGATATCCATCCCTCCATGGCATATTTGGCCTGCTTGCCTCAATGCTGCATGTATGTTTGCGGGCACCTGGGCAACCAAGAACACAGGTGGCCTGGGGCAGAGGAAACATTCCTCTACCTGCAGCCTATGAGCTTCCCACACATTGTGCTGTGCATGTGTGACCTACCCAAAACAAGAGCATTTAGCAAACAGCAGGTGGTACAGGTAAGCCCCCCCACCCCACTCACTCCCCAATACAGGCTCTAAGTCCTGCACACTATTCTAGGCAAGGAGCCTTTGCCCACTTGACCTGCCTCAGCCTAGAAAGCAGCCCAGGTCTCCTCGCACGGAATAGGCCCCTACCTAGCTTGCTCAGCTGCTCAACACAACTGCCTCACACACACACACACACACACACACACACACACACACACCAAGCAAACATCTAGCTTGGTACAGATGAGCTCACACACCTGCACAGGCAGCCCATGGAGGAGGCAGTGATTCTAGGCAGGCTGCCCCTTGACAGGCAGCAGAACCCCTCCAACCCTGCTTCATCTGGCTGGCTACCTCTCACAGTGCTAAGCCCACGTCCCAGGAAGAAATGACAGCAAGATCTAGATGCACTTTACCACATTCAAGTATTTCCCCTCAATCTTTAACATTTTCATAAGATACAATATGTCCAGGGAAGTGTGGAACACAAGAAACAGCCAAATAGTTAAAGAAAAATTAATATGTATCCTTCTTAAACTATTTTTTAAAATTAAAGTGGAAGGAAACACTTTCAAACTCATTTTATGAAGCCAGCATTACCCTGATACCAAAACCAGATAAAGACATTACCAAAAAATGAGAATTACAGGCCAATATCCTTGATGAACATAGATGCAAAAATTCTCAACAATATATCAGCAAACTGGATTCAACAGCACAGTAAAAGGATTATACACTGTGACTAAGTGGGATTTACACCAGGGATGCAAAGGTGGTTTGACATCCATAAATCAATTAATACAACACATCACATTAATAAAAGATAAAACCCATTATTTCAATAGATGCAGAAAAAGCATTTGACAAAACTGA